CCCCCAAAACCCCAAAACCCCAAAACCCCTACAGCAGTATTGATAAAACTAAGTGGACTTAGAAATTTAACTGAAAGAATGAATAATCAAACACAATAATATATAAAGAATATTTCACTGAACAATCACTCAGTATCTCATGTTGTTGTTGCTACTGCTACCACCATTGTGGTTATTCGCTCCTGAGCTCAATTTATCTAGCATCTAGTGGTGACGAGAGTAAAGTTATTGATTGATAGATGATGACTAGCCACCTCCTATACTTACAGTTCCTGGGTTAGTGGTCTTCTTCCTCTTACTTGCAGAGTTCTAAGCCATGATGTTGTTGCTTGAACTGCTTTCTTTGAAGTTATGCGCATTGTTAATATTGTTACTCTACATGTGGAGATTAGACCTGCCCATACTCAAGTCTTTTCGATGCATTCTATTAGGTGTGTTTACCTAGAAGTTGCTTCCATTTGAATACTTTTATGGCGATTAGTTTACTTGCTACCCATTCTTGTACTTGTATGAGGTGTTATTATGAGATCTAATATTCTTATACATTCCACTGATTGTTTGATGATGCTATTCTACTTACTTCTTACTTTATTAGTTATTGGATTACTGATGATGCATTTACTATTGCTGCTGTTATTGATGACTATACTTATCTTTTACTGGAGTGACAATAGTATGAGCATCTTAATCATCGCTCATTAATCTCCAAGGTGATTGAGAAGAGGTTCTCTTATTACTTTAATTGTTATACATATATGTATTCTTCTAGAGATATGACGATTATGGTTGCTCGTTGTATTTATAAGTTGACTGCTTCTTATCTGGGCTGTTTACTCTTTTCAAATTATCATTATGTACATATTTATGGGAATTGCTGTTAGAGCCGATGGTATTACTATTCTAATAATTATGCTAAGGTTTATTAATTGCAGTTGTAGTGTTTGTCGTAGTATTGGTTCTTTAAGGATGATAATTCACAGTTGCTGTCTAAGAAGTTAAGGTTTACTAATTTTGCAAGTCATTACTGTAGGCTCTGCTATACTCAACCTTACTTGGCGAGTGAGAGAGATAAACCTATGACTTTAGCCCTTCATCTTATCTGTTAATAGCTGGAGTATCTAAATTCAAGAAGTAATTATTCTCTGGTTTAGCAAGATGATGCTATTGGTTATTAGGGATATTCTGCTAAATCACATGATTAGAGCCAAATTGAGTATTAGACTTCTAAATCAGAGTGGAATTTCTATTGTATGATGGATGATTTTAGAAGTTGAGTTCTGGTTTACTGTTATTGTTCATATATTAATGGAAATCAATTCTAGCTACTTTGACAGGAGATTGATCATTATTATAACTCATACTTGACCCTTTAATTCTCAGAGGGGGATCTTCTTCATGCTCTTCAGGTACCTGCGAGAATTCTTAATCGACTTCATCCTTTAAGTCTTCAAACTTATAGATTGCCTCAGTTCTTGGCTTCATATTTTATTCTCTTTCCTAGATGCCATATTTACTCTTTAGCTAATTGAAAGATATAGATGGTTTTTCAGCGCAAGTAAAATTATTCTAAGTAATCATGGGACTTTAGTCAAACAATTCTGGATTGTTTATGTTTCCCAAGAGTTGTCTGTACTTCCACTCATTATGAGTTACTTAGTGCTTATATTGAGTTCTCATAACTGCTTCATCTTGCTCTGCAGATATATCATGATTGAATTCTTAGAATTGATTGCTAATTTAGTTTCTCTATCTTGGAGGAGATTGATATTACTATTGGTGATTCTGATTATGAGGGTTAATTTCATTTTAGCTTCTTGTTGCTCCTGGTTAATTCATATATCTTGTCTCTCTTTCTGCTAACTTTTACTCAACATTAGTAATGCTTTTCTCAAATTTCTAAAGAGTAGCATTAAGTTTGTCTCTTTCAAATTAGCTGAAGTTTTAGTTATCATAGAAAGAACCATGATTTCTGAAATCATATGATTGACTCTCTAGAACCTAATTATTTTCAATCTAAGGAATATTATTGTTATTCTGATTCAAGTATTAAGCTAACTCAGCTTGATCTGCCATTTCAACATCCTGATACTGTTAATGCTAAATCTATTGTAGATACAAGTTTTATTAGTTTTAACTTAAAAGATTAGTATTATTTGCTACAGGATTATTATTCTTCATAATCTGACAGATCTTTTTGTTTGTTTCCTCTATCTTTAATTTTATCTACTCTTCGACAGACTATTGTTTAGAATATTGATAATCCTGTCTTTGTGGGGAAGGAGTTCTCACAGGGATCTATGCATTATTAGTGGGTTTAACTGTAAAAGAAATAACACTTCTACCTATTTAAACAGCTTTTGTACAATCAACATCTAACTCGATGGCTTACTTAGCCAATACAAGTGTTCCAAACTTTGAAAGATTATCCTCGAGGTAGTATCCATTGTCGTTTGTATCGTACTTCAAGATGGCATGGCATCTGCTAACTGAGATATCGCTCACTCTCACATCAGACTCGTGTCCTCTGCCTAATTTGAATTGGTAGAGTTTCTCATTTGGCATGATCAGATGAACCATTCTTGAGGAATTTTTCTCGAATGTTAGAGATTCAAGCCACAAGAAATTCTATTGTTCTGGAACATCCACATCAACTAATCTATATTTTCTACCATTTGATTTAAATATATATGGATAAGGTTTCTTGCATATTTCGCATTCAAATTGTTTCCAAGTGTAAGACACTAGATGGTCTTCTTCTTTCTTCTGCATTTTTTGTTTGAGCCAATGCTTCAAACACTCATAATGGATAAATCTAACAGAACCATCACATTTACAAGAATTTAATAAAGGATTAGAGGGACTTTATTCATTACTCCAACAGACTTTACATTAAATATCATTTTAAGTTGAATCTACAACACCGCAATCGATTTCGATGGCTTCTTCTGAGAAATCATCTCCACCAAGCCAGTATTCATCTTCAACTATCTATGGCTATCCTGCTACTCCTTTTTTCACGGGGGAATAACTTTGTCTTCTGTTCAGATCAATATTCGCAGGGGTGTTATCTGCTCTGAAATCCTTGACCTTGAACTTTATTCTTCCAAGCTTTATAATATCACCTTTCTTTAGTCGATAATCCTATCATATGCAATTATTTGGTAAAATTTTGGTCTTACTGTCTTAGAAGAAGTAGTTTTTAGGTTTCTTACAACAATGAACATTTTGTTGTTGACATCCTCATCAGTGCTTGCCTTTTGAGCTTCTTCTTCTGATTAAAAAGCGACTAGAGTGTCATTTTCGACGAAAAACTTGCCTATCAAATTGATTATTTACAAAAATATGATTGTACCATTTTTTTCATGCACAATAATCAAAGGTTTCGCTTCGGGATGAAATTCCTAAGCAGTTGACTGTCTGCTTATAAACTCTACATCATTATTTACTCTAATTATTTTGCCTCCTGTATACGACTTTATATTTCTCTTTTGTATTTATCTGGATTCGTAGTCAAATAAGCCATGAGAGTCTCTACCCCAAGTTACACAACGCATGTAAACTCTAAAAGGATAGAATTAATAAGTTGAAACTGGCAAAGTTGGGCACTTACTCAAATCTTGGGTAGTATTGCTGATTATAATTGTGGACTGTCTAGGTTTGATCTTGGTCCGAGAGATCACATGTTATCTGCAATGGAGATGCAATCATTCTGCCCTGTTTATGCTATGAATGAGAATCATGCTGCTGAAACATCACCTGATTAGGGTTGCTATTGAGTTGCATGTATTGGGCATTAGTTGGTGACTGATTTTGAGAGTTAAAAAAGAGAAGGGGTCTGCTAGGTTGCCTATTTTGCATTTAATCAATGAATTATTTTTTATTTTGCAATTAAACCAAACACAGTGTGACAATTAAAGAAGAAAAATCATACGAGCCCTTCAAATAAAATATAATTTATTTTTGGATTTTAATTTCCTCTTATCATGTATTTTCAGCTCCATGGGGTTTTGGGGTTTTGGGGTTTTGGGG